CGGCGATGCATCGTCGATGCATCGTCGACGTGGGCGATGCCTCGGCAACGTCGACGTGGAGGAAATCGGGATCCACTCGTGAAGGGCTCAATGACTGCTGCCGGCCTTCGGCTCGCGCTGGAGCGGCCGCGAGTTGCTCCAACTTTCCCAGGAGATCCCTGGATTTACCTGGATTTATTTCGATGTACCTGGGTTTACCTTGAGTTACCTCGATTTATCTGCCATTTACCTGGATTTATCTGACTCGATCCCCACAAGACGATTGGCGAAAAGCCGACAAGCCCTAAGGGATCCACATCGAGCCGCATCGGCGATGCATCGGCGATGCGGCGCGCTCCTCCGACCACCTCTATAGTACAGGGAAACAAACAATGGCATAGACATGAGAACTCGGAGATCCGCGCGGATTGCTTGGATCCGCGCTGGGCCCCCCTCCCTGACGCGCGGAGCGGCGCCGCCATGGGGGCCCCAGCGCCGATCCGAGAAATCCGCGCGGACCTCCGAGTTCTTACGTTTGTGTCATTGGTCGTTCCCCTGTTCTTGGAAGGGCCCGGCAGGCTCCAAGAAGGCCCCCTCGGAGGCCGGGAGGGACTCCGACGGGCCACGCGGCCTCTCAGAAGCCCCCCCCCCCTTCCCTTCCTTGCCAGGGAGCCGCCCCCCGCCCCCCCTCGCGCACCGCCCCACTGTGCGCGCCGCGCCGAGCCCTGCCAAAAAGTTCCACAGCCACGCGGAAACTTCGGACGCGCGCTTGCAGCCCAGTCCTACAAGGGCCCAGGGTCACACAAATAACTGAACATGTTTCCCATGTTTGTTCCCAGGATTCCCCTATACTTTCCCAGGACCCCCCCACACTTTCCCAACGATTCTGGGATTCACCATAGTTCCCATATTGTCTGGGTCTTTGTCTTCCTACCCCCCTTCCCATATGTTCCCATACTTCCCTGGGAATAAACGATGAACTGTGTCTCTGTGTCTTTTTTCGGGTCGGGCGAAAGGGGGGGATAGCAAAGGGGGGGTTTGAGAATCAGCTCACGTAGCTGATTTTCCCGGCGCCTCCCGGCGCCGGAGGCGGCTATGTATCGAGGAATGGGCCCCTCGGTGAGGCCGAAACCAGCTGCATGCAGCAAATTTCGTAACCCCCCCTTTCCCAATCCCCCCCTTTCGCCCGGCCCGATTTTTGTCCCTCCTCGAGACCCTTCGCGCACCCCGGGGCCGAGAGGCCACCGCCGGAGCGAGAGGCCGAGGAGGCGGGGCGGCCGCCGGCAGCCCGGCCCGCGGCTCCCGTCCCCGACCCCCTGGCCGCCAGGAGGCCCCCCGGGGGTTCGAGGGGCGATCGGGAGGCGAAAGCGGGAGGCGATGAGCGAGTCGCCTCCCGCTCTTTCTTGCGCCTGCTTGCTGACCGTCGTGAACTTGTGTTGCCTCTCTCTCTCGTCGTGTTTTGGGGAGCTTCCCTGTCGTGCTCGGGTCCTCCCTTGTCGTGTTTAGGTCCTCCCTGTTCGGGGGCGGCCAAGAGGGGGGCGTCCAAGGGGGGGGGGCGCAAATCATAGACCGAGGCATGTGCGCGGCCCAGGGGGGGGGGGGGGCGGGGACGTATGAAATAAGAAGGGGCGCCATGAAATCTGGGCAGGTATCATGGCCCCCGCCATGATATCCACACCCCCCTAATCATCACCCCTGACCGCCCCCGACCTTTGCCGCCAGGAGGCACCCTCCCCGGGGTTCGAGGGGCGGTCGGCAGGCGAAAGTGGGAGGCGAGAGCGAATCGCCTCCCACTCTCACCTCTGCTGCTCGTCGTGCATGAAGGGGCCACAAACACACAGATAAGTAGACACAAATTCCAGGATT